TCCACTGCAAATGAATTCCACAAAATGGCAGTTTGAATTGCTCATTTTCTTTAATTTGCCCTTTGGTTAGTGTTATCATTTGGGCAATCATAGGAACTAGGTAGTGGAAAAAAGCGTTTTTCCACTTTCAAGTCTTCTTTTTGGCTGTACTTACTCCTTACCATGCCAACCTAAACAGTTTCTAGAAATCTGCCAAACTTAGAGAACACTCTTTGTTTTGGAGGACTGCTGTGTCTTTTATGTGCAGCCTATCAGTTGCTGCAAAAAATCCTTTTCCTCTGCACAAGGCCTTAGGACAGAGGGTCAGTCCAGCTGTCCTCTCTGATTTAGAGGAAATGGCAATCATAAGCACTACAGAACAGTCATTTAATTTAGTTCAAGAACAACTTCTTCTGAGCAATAAGATGCCATTCAGTGTGATTGTCATGCTTTTCCTAAGAGACAGATGCTGCAAGGCTACCTTGAATGTAGGTGATGACTTCAGTGGCTTCCATCTCCCATTTTCACTTAGGTTACATAGCCCTCTTGTTTTCCCTACAGCTGGGTTTTTGTCTTCTGTTAAGATTTCTTTGCATGTTTTATGCACATTCTTGAGACCAGCTCTTATGTTTACAGTTGTTATCCACTCTTTCCAGTCATTGTGTTATGATCAGGAGTCTGGAAATAAACATGGTTTTTCTGGATCCTGTTGACTTCAGATTGCCATGATGGGTAACACAAAAAATAAGAGAATCATTTCTCCATATCTCTAAAGAAAGTACCTTGGTGCTAGATCTCCCTCCTCTTATCTTTACTGGTGTTTACCTTGTCCAGTTTTAATACCTGTCCTCATGATTTACCAAAGATTATAGAGAATGACCTAGTTAAGACATAGATTACTGCATGATCCTCAGATGTATCCCTGCTAGTCTCAAGGGCCTATGTAATTTTGTTCTGCTTTGCACCGTATCTCAGTTCCTATAAAACTGGTTTGAATCTTAGTCCAGATTGAACCAAGTTGGTTCAGTAATAAAGACTCCAAGATTTGCCAGTACCCTTAAAATCATGTCATGTCTTTTCTCATTTTTCAAGATAAATTGAAGTCACAGAAGTTGGCTTTATAAAATAATTGGCTACTTAAAAAAACCCAAACAAACAGATTTTTATTAGAAGCTTATATTTTAAATGGTTATATTTACTTGTTTCATAGAAGAAGCTGAAAATCGGGCTTTCAGAAATATTCTCAAACCATGAGATGTGTTCAGAGTTTCAGGTGCTTAATAGTATTCAAAGCCAAATAAATCCTGTCTAGTGTGACTCCTTTTTATGAAAGTGACCTGTTGCCACCTGGTAGAGATTCTGCTTTTGTTCAAAAGCTTCAGAAGTAGAGCCTGAAGAGCTGCTCTTTCACTGCTAAACCACTGCAGCCACTGGAGTAACTTCACCTGGTAACTAAGTCAATGTTCCTGATTTGGTGCTGAAGGGCTAACAGCTCCAGCTTCTGTTTTTTAATTGGATATTTTAATATCCAGAAGCAGTGCATATTCCATAGTGCAGTGGACTAATGTTATAGCAAGAGTTCCTATGAATTAAACCATAGCATATTGGTAATGATTTTAGTTATTTCTTATCTGTGGATCCATCAAGCAGATACACGAGAGATTGTTCCATAATTAGGAGCTTACACTGGAAAAATACAATGTAATGTCTCCCAGACTGCCTTCTATAAATAGATGTCCTTTTCTTTAGATCCCTGCTTCTGCTTGAATTTTCTGGTAAGAATTCAGTAGAGATGTAGATGGAGCTACAAACATCACTTTAAATTAACAGTAAGGTCTAATTGTTTCAGATTATGAGCTTTGTCATAATTCAGAAGGAATCTAAATGTCAGTAAGATGACACTGTTTTAGTTGTGTCTTCCAGTTCTTTTTTCTGCTGCCTTGTCAAAAGAAAAAACTAAAAAATAAAACAAAACATACAAAAAATAAAAACATGCAAAAAAGTTTGAAACAAACAAAAAAAAAAGGCTAAAATGTTGAAGTTGTCTTTTGCAGATCAAAAAACCAGCAAAAATGTTCTGTAGGATCAATATCACCATGAAGACCTGATGCAATTTTTAACATCTGTTCTTTCCCTTTCGTAGCTTCTCCAGTGTGATAGAATGAAAATAAGTAATTTGCTTCTTCTCTTGGCTTGAGGCCTAAAAGTTTTATTTGTATTTCAAATATATACTGAGGTTTGGTAGTGGTGAGGTGAGGGATGAATTGGCATCATCCCTTCTCAGAAACACAGGTGGTCGGTCATACATTTGGTTTGTGCTGTGTGTAGGCCTCAGCTCCTCTCTTTGATGTAGCCTCTTTCCCACATTCTGTTATTCATGTTTGCTTTCTTTTACCGATGTTTTCTCATGACCTTGAGTTTAAGGAATTTCATCAGTACATTCTCCAATTAACCAAAGTTTGAGAGGTACTGTCACATGTCCTCTTGCTCACTTGGATCTTCCTTCTGCTAAGAGTTTGCCATGTATGAAAGTCAGAGTTGCTAGGAAGGTTGCAGGGTATTTACCCTTTTTGGTTTGTTTTACTAAATCTGTGTTAAAATAAGAAAAGCTGACTTGATTCCTGCTGTTTATACGTAGAAATAACTCTTGATCATTGAATGACCCTTACCCTATAGATCCAGTCATCCATGCCATGGGAAAAAAAAATTGTTGTGTCTATTAATTTTCGCTGGATGTCATCCAGAAAGCAGAAATATTACTGCTTATGTTCATCTTGTGTTGACACACTGCAATAAAGGAGTCTTCATATGCCAGAGTTAATCTAACAGAAGATTTACTGCTCTTTGCAGTGCCATGCCAAATGTAACCTTCAGTGCTTTTTCCTGAGTTTTAACCCTACTTTAACTCTTTACTCCTGGCAAATCCTCCTGCCCTTAAGCTGTGCCCAAGTTAAAAATTTTAAATGACCTGAAAGATTTTTTCCTTCCCTGAAAGGTAAAATTATTATTTGATATGTTGGTCCATGAGGACACACATGTTCACATCCAAGTGGAGCAAGTGGTAGCATTGTCATTTGCAGAAGAATTCTTCAAGCAGAAATTTCAGCCTCTAAGTTTAGAAAATAGCACTTCCCAGAGAAGTAGATGAAAATGAGAACTATATTGCTTAAACAGTTAGGTCCTGCAATGTGAGCAAGAGCTGCCTGAAAATCAGGAGCTGCAGACTCAGCTCCATTTTCAGAAAGGCATTTCAGAAAACTTATCAATCCATTTGTTAGCTGTGCTCCCTGGAAGTTACATACAAATCCACTTCTATACTGGTAGCTCTTTCTACACCATGTTATTACATAGCAAACAGACACAAAAAATTTAAAATCTCTCTGGAGGACCACGTGTGAATGTATAGGGACTCAGAGATCTGTCCCATGCTGTTAATGCATGTGTGCCTCAAATCTGCATTTCAGTTTGTTCTTAAGTGCCAGGAGCTTATTTCATAAATGGTGGAGAAGCCTGTGACAGTGCGAAAGAAAAAAAGTTACATTTTTTATTTCTTTTTAAGCAGTGAAGTCCCTTCAAATAGCCAGTCTAAGTTCACCTTGAGGGCAAAACACAGGCTACTTTAAAATAAAAATCTTTCAGTGTTAGTCAATAGAAAAATAAAGTCTGTTCTGTTCTGTGTAAATAATTTTTGATCAATGTACTGTTCTAAGGCAATTCCCAATTAGCATATCCTATAGCTGATTGTCAGATCCTGTCCAAAGGGTACAATCGTGACACAGGCTGTGAATATTCAGCAATAGGAGTCTGTAAATCTGAGTAAGTAATGACAAAGCCTCTTTAGGGAAAGAGGTGAGCTGAGTAGAATAATGGCAATCTTGTGGGGCAGTGGGGTATTTTAATTTAATCAAATCCAGAGCAACTGAAAAAGATACTATTAAAGGGACTTATTCTCTGAAGTAAATACTTTTCAGAAAAATGTACAGTTCAAACTGACATGCTAAATTGGCATCCTTACATCCACTCCATTCTGTGGATCAAAGCAAAGTAAATAATTTCCCTCGCCTTTTATCTCTTTTATGGATGTGTTTGTGAGTATGTGTGCATATGCATGTGTATGGTGTGTGCATGTGCATACATGAGTAACACAGAACAATGGCAGCGACAGGGGTTCTTGCTTTTTCTGTAATGAAGTTGGCAACTTTATTTTTTTTTATCTAGTGGTACCTAATGGTCACTGCCCACAATAGTAAAAGCTCAGAAGTATTGCAACTTTCTCTTGCCTGTGTTTGCCCAGCCACCCTTCTACATACTACAAGCACTGGGAAATTTCAATGACACAGCTTGGAATGGGTTCAGTGACCTCAATTATGCCCTCCCACCCACTCCAAGCTCCTTTCAATTTGCAAAAAGCTTTAAGTGGACAAAACCCAGATGCCTTTTGCTTGTAGTTCAGTAAGAACAGATTGGACATGTAGATTCTTGTCAAAGTGATATATGTAGTTCATTTTCCATTAACTCTTTCTTAACTAAGGGTTTTAAATTATCAGTTCCAAGTCTAGCACTCTGCTTTGCTTTCTACTGTTTTTAAGGTCCATTATGCCTGCAACATCGTTTAAAAGTGAAACTTAAAATACCTCAGTTAGACATTGACTGATACAAAACAGAGTGGTTCTGCTTTTAAAGGCAATAACTTTTTTTTTTCTTTTTAAACTTGTTTCATATATAATAACCCATTCTATTGTCTAAGAGAGTTGAAAAACACTAATTAAATACACTAAGTAAAATCTCCAGTTTGGGAGGAAAAAGAAGTCATGACTTGTGCAAATGATTTCCCAGTCAAAACCAGTATATGGACCCTGATGACCTTGAGCTTGCTTCAGTTGGCTTGCTTAAAACTTACATTGCTTTTAATATGTTGTAATATTGCCCCAAAGAGGCAGTGCCCTTCCCCTCCCCCAGAGCATTTCATTACACTCCCTTTCTCCCTCTCTCTCCCTCTCTCTCTCTCTCTCATTCTGCAGAAACATGTGCTGTCAATAACGGAGGCTGTGATCGGACTTGCAAGGATACCGCAACAGGAGTACGGTGCAGTTGCCCAGTTGGATTTACCCTGCAGCCTGATGGGAAAACGTGCAAAGGTCAGCCTCTGTTTGCTTTGCAATGTATCATTTGCCTTCAGTGGGCCCAGTACAAGATGTAAATATTCAGTTATTTAATCAATACTTTTTAAGTCGAGGCAATACTGGTATAGCGATTGCAATTAAGTTCATTAGCTTTCTCCTTCCCTAATTTTTATGTATTTGCCTGGTTCTATTGTTTTCCTCTTTATTTATTAGAGGGTTTTATTACTGAAAAAAAATGAGATACAGAGGTCAAACTGTTCAAAGCTGAGCAGAGATTTAGAGGAATAACTCAGGGCTGCAAAAGGCCTTTAGTTTCAAAGGATATTCTGATACCTTTGTAATACCTCAGTCATCTAATGGTGTCTGCATTTGTCTATTCAGAAAATGAGTTACAATTGTTAAGCAATACTTTGTTACCTGAGGATAATCAACTGCTTATTACTAAGTGAAGCCACGTATTGCTCAGAAAAAAACTTGCTCATTTCTGCACCTTCAAAAGATAAATAGACAGCTACAAAGGAAAAATAAAATAACATTTACAAATGCAGGAGTCTAAACCACACAGCTGATGCTCAGGTTTTACTCGCCAAAGAACCAGAACCTTGCTATTCTGTCTTTTGTGTGTGTGTGTTAAAACTGAGGTCAGGGGAAAAAAGAGCAGAAAAGAACATCTGATAGCACTGTCAGCATGTGCTCTTAGTTAAAGAGACCGGGACAGCTCTCAAATGTCCCTACATTGTCACACTTCAATGGCACATGAAGAGACTTGCGTACATGTTGGTAGGACAAGTCCATCCATCAACAATTTTCCCACTTTCCTGGGTATTTCTTTTGAGCTTCTTTGCAAAAGATCTGGAAGTGGAGATCCAGGAGGACATGGCATATATTCTTGTCACAGAAAATATTTTTCATCACTCAGTGACTTAGCTTAAGTTGCCATAACTTGCTAAGAAATTATTATGACTCTTTTTCCTTCAAATTAACCAGAAATGTCATAATACCTTCCATCCAGGGCTTGATGTTACTTAAAACAGTAAAATCCACAAAAATAAACAGAAAGTGTGTGGTTTCCTCTTGCTACAGGCTGAAAAATCTCAGTGCTTGGGCATGATCCTGTTAGTATTTATAGAAATAACAGTCCATTTGCCTGTTTATTTGAAAATAAAACATTTAAATTGCCATTGCACACAATGTTAATAGTTAAGGGTGAGCACACATCAAAACTCAGTCATCTTAGTTCAAGCCACATAAAAATAAATATTCATTTTTACCAGCAGACTAGCTAAGCCATAGCAGAACAGTAACAGTGATTCCACCGAGTGCTTAAAAAGAAGGCATTTTAATAATGTAACATACACCTAGGCTTGATCATAATGTTTATTATTGAAACTGTGTTATGAAAAAAAAAAAGAGTAATTCTAAATTTAGACATTTGGCCAGAGAACTAACATGAAATGATATTTATATAATAATCAAGACTGTAATTATTCCAGTGGACAAAATGAAACGTTCTACTGATCCACAAACCAAATACCATAGCTCTAAGCTCTTTCACATTTTGCTTTTCCCCTTTTTTAAGAGTAGAAAATATAAGAAACAGAACCTGTATTTTTATGACACTGCTGATTCTTTCTTACTTTCTTAAAATAAGCAGCAGCTGGAAATTAACACAGATGGTTTAATAAAGCAACAAGCCATTTCTTTTTAACCTTTATTGACATTTTAGGAAATAATCTTTATTGTAAAATGGTAAAACATACATTTGAATTTAATTTAATTAATAAAAGTTGTCATATGTATTGCATTGTGAGATTTCTGGGCTAGATCCTGCTCTCCTGAAGTTGAAGTGATTTTTCCATTTAAACCTGTGCACAAAGAATCCTGCACTTAAACTGGCCTTGAAGTTTCTTGCACAGCTTTTGCAGGCATCCCTTAGTCAAAAGGGATGGTCTGTAGGATTTGCAACTCCCGAAGGCAGAAGTAAACTTTTTGGTGGAGTGACACTGATGTCCTCTTGGCTCCTCTTGCTGATAGGCAAAGCCTGGAAAAGACAAGACAGGAGAAAGTCAGTGTGCACATATTCCTTCCTCTGAATTCTCTAGAAAAGAAAAGGAGAGAGTGATCAGCACAAGTTTTCTCCTTCGATTTTTTTTCTTCTCTACTTTCCTTGACTTGACTGACCCCAGTCTCTCATATATCCAGGTTCCTCTGTCCTCCAGCTGTAATTTTACATCTGTTTGGGGGTTATGTCTTGGATGCCCTTTAAAGCATCTTCAGGAATCATGGAGCTGTCACATGCTGTCTTTCTTGGGCACAGTTTTCAAGTGCTTCAAGTGTCACAGCATGTCCAAGTGACATTTCTCATAGAACATCATTTTAAGGTTGGTTATGTTTCTAAATATAGAATAACGATATGCCATTGTCTGTTGAAGGGAAAGTAGAGATGCAGGGCAAGGAAGAAAAGCTGAGAGGAACTGGAAGGAGAATTAATATATTAACTGAAAAATGCAATTGTGGGTTGAACAAAATTATTAATATGTTTAGGTTTAATTTAGCAAATAATGTTGACCGAAATAATGTTTTTATTGGAAAGTCTCTGATTTTTTTTTTAGTCCATTTTGGCATCTTCCTCTCTAAGCCATTTTACATAGTGCAGCTACTACATGAAATTATGTAAAAGCTTTGATTCAAGAGGATTAAATAAGACTCAAAGAAACATCTGTACTTTTGGGTATTACAAAGTGGATGTATGGTAATTTTTTAATGTGTAATTGTAGCTCATTTGTAGGTGATTTCCTCAATAATGTGCTTTTACTATACTAGTAATTTATGGAAATCTGCTGACACATTTCTTCCTTATTTTTTACTAGGGAATTTATTAATTTTTTTAAAAAAATCATGCAATAAAAGTACTATTTTGCCAAATAACAAAAATTTCTAGATGATTCTGTTCAACAATCAGGACTCTAGTCAATTTTAGGCACTGTGTAGGCATGTAAAGGGGGAAAAAGTTTCCTATCAACAATGTCCACAGGTTTTTGTTTCGTAGTTGGGAAGTACATTAATTGTTTAGTGTAGAAAAAAGGCAAGTATAAATACAAAAGGAAAGTTCTTAATAAAGAGTATATTCAAACATGCTTGATTACCAAAAGGTGGGAAAGAAACCCTTTTAAATGGAACTAATTGTTCTGTGCTTTGCTTGCAATATCACAGTTCCCATTCTGTAGTTCTGTTCTAGAAACTGGCATGAATTTAAATCACGAAGTACAGAACTGAGTCCTGACTAAAAGTCTGATATTTCTCCTGGCCCTTCTCAGTGTATCAGAGAACTACACCAGGAAGGTGTAGGAGGGCAGCTTCAGAGTAATACAAGGAACCTGCCTTCAGTGGTTTTGCAAGAGGTTGACCTCTTTCATAGTGAGAAATGAGAGTTCATTGTACCTCAAAGAATCAAGCTCCTTTTTTAATGCAGAGTACAGTCTGGTTTATAACAAATGTCTGTAAAATTTGGAGGTATAATGTTGTAGAGATAGTTTTAACATGGAATAGTTACAGATACTGGCAGAACACGTAGGAAGACTACTGTCCACTGTCATGGAGGATTGCTTTGCTTTCTGGAAACTGGAAAAACCTTTTTAATCTTTGACTAAAAATCTCTAATTTCTCTGTTACATACATAATTTGCAAAAGTGTTGTCTGTGGTCTAGTTAGAATGATCTTCAGATGTATTAATGGTGCTTGGATAAAAATTCATTAACCATTTGCTGTCTTTTAAAAGTTAGTCCTGAACTCAAGTCTTCCTGCAGTTGGCTTGGCACACAATGGAGAATGCTCCTTTATTCCCTTCAGCTTTCCTGTCAATTTGGCTCTTAATAAGCCATACCATGGAGGCTTTTGACAGCTGAGAGAAGAGACATTCCAGGCAGAAGGAGTTCCATATTCTCCCTCTAATTAATGCCATTTAATTCCTATTGCCATTGTAACTGGGTGATGCCAGCTTGATGCTCAGTTCATTTGATGCTGTTGATTATTGTGCTACACATGAGGAAACAGTGTAGATCATTTTCTTGAATGCCTACCAAGTTATCCCACAGGATTCAGCCAATTCACAGAAAGGGAGACTGAACATTGAAAGACGTAGAGGCCTGGGATGCTTATTGCTCATTACCTCCTACCCGCTTTTTAATATCCTCTGTGTTGGGCATATCAGGGGTTATGTGGTCCTCAGCTCCCTTTTTTGTTGGTTTCTGTGCTTCCTTCCTGCTGAGTGACCTTTTCGTGGATCCAGCTCCATTCTGCCCTCAGTGAGAAAATTCATCAGTTCAGCATTTTAATTATATTAAATACAGCTTGGGTAACTGATTATGCAGGAAGCTCATTTGAAAAAGACTTGTAGGGTTCAAGAGGAGTGAAGTCAGACTAGATTAGATTTAGCACAGATTTCTGAAGATTGTTTAAATCCATCTGCCAAACTGGATCAAACAATAAAGAGCTCACCTTCCCGAGGGCAGCTGCAGGAGACAAGCTGAGCCAGGGAGAATTCTTCTCTCAGGACTTAAAGTAGAGGAAGACTGAGAATGATGGCAAAAAATGACACCTGAGAGAGACAAGGACTTTCCTTCATTGCTTCTCTAAGTGAATTAGAGCAAGAGAAAGGGCAACAAGCTTCTAGCATGTTCTAGCATGTGTAAAATATATGACCATGTGTATGATATATATGCTCCGTTTCTGCCCTGGGACTTAACAACATAACTGTGCCCCCAGGCAGTGTTGTGCCTGAGAAAAGCAACTTCCCAGCACTCTGCATTTAGACATAGAAGTACTGTGCAGGCTACAGCCCTTGCTGAGCTCCTAGGGTCAAATGGCACAGCAAATTAAATTTTTAAGCAGGAGAAACTGGATTTCTAAGGGTCATTGAGCAAAAGTAACATCTCAACTATGACTTTTCCACAAACATTCATAAAGTGCTACCTAACTTTGCAATGTCCTGCAGATTTTTTTTTAACAGCAGGATG